ATTTTCAATAAGCAATCCTGAAAAATATTTGGGGGTGCTTAACTTTTTTCCAGGTGTATAGTAAAATTGGCTCAGAATTCAGTCTAAGGGATAAAAAACTCAACTTCTATTACACTAGCCTCATACACTCATTTCTTGAGGAAGAGAGGATTGATGAATAGTGGTTTTCTTATTCACCTGATTTCAATCTCATGAAGCATGTATGTAATACTCTTGGGAGACAAGTCTCATCAAGCATGTATGTAATACTCTTGGGAGACAAGTTAAATCTCATCAAGCATGTATGTAATACTCTTGGGAGACAAGTTAAATCTCATCAAGCATGTATGTAATACTCTTGGGAGACAAGTTAAGTCTCATCAAGCATGTATGTAATACTCTTGGGAGACAAGTTAAGTCTCATCAAGCATGTATGTAATACTCTTGGGAGACAAGTTAAATCTCATCAAGCATGTATGTAATACTCTTGGGAGACAAGTTAAATCTCATCAAGCATGTATGTAATCCTCTTGGGAGACAAGTTAAGTCTCATCAAGCATGTATGTTATACTCTTGGGAGACAAGTTAAGTCTCAACAAGCATGTATGGGAGATACACTGCATCTCCTCATGTGGCTCCAGACACTAAAGATGTTCTGGAACTAATTCTTTCAGAGAAGTGGGTCATAATAGAAGGTCTTATTAATTAACATCTAGACTTTCACAGTGTTAGTGTTGTTTCAATATAACCTTGAGAGTTTCGATATAAATGAACTGTTAAACAGTATATAAATAAAGTTATTTGATTTATATTCAGTTATCTCTGTGCAAATTCTTTATTCCACACATAAACTTCCTTGAGTTGGTGGTTTGTGTGCTCTGCTCGTGACAGTATGACCCACAATCCAAATAAATTTCTTTGTAACAAGTGTAAAGTCAAAACCAACGACTAAGCTCATGGGCTGCCCAAATGCCCGTTACACTGGAGAGTCTTTTGAGAAGCTAAAAGGCTCGTCATAACTGGCTTTTACTAGTGACTTGTCCACCTGTCTTTTGGACAGGCACTTGTCTATCAAGACTGGCGAGTACTTTAACAGATGAATATAAGATGGAAAAAATATAAAATTTTTAACAACATAAAGGATGTATGTCCAATTAAAGTATTCCATGTTATGTTATGTATTGTTTTGCTATAAATGTTTTTTTGTATCCTAATGTAACCTCACAAAGTGCTTTTTAAGTCTGTCATGTCATGTAAAGAACATTCTACAGTCCAGTTTATGTAGCATGTTTTCAATGGTAGAGCTACCAATACAATCAGCTTTTCTCATCATGTATTAGATGTTCTTATATATCAATATGGTTGGTTTTTGGATAAGTAGATAAGAATTTAAGATTTCTCATGTTACATGACTCAATTCAATTAACCCTATCTCCATGGGTACCATTTACTGTGCATGACACAAGGTTTTTAGTGTCTTACATTCAAAATTTTATTATACTACTTTATTTTT